TTATTTAATAGCATGTAAAAATATTATAATTTTTGTAAAAAATGATTGTCCATTTTTATAAGATTCAATTTTGAAAATAACTAATTTATAATATATTAATTTGCTAATACAATAGTCATTTCAGAAAAACAGTCAAATTAGATGATTTCAAATAATCTATATCATTAAAGTAATTCACTTTTATATTTCAATTATGATAATGAATTATTTATATTTAATAAAGATATCACAGCTTATAAAATTTAAATCCCTTCTTTATAAGTTAACTTAACAAATTTATAAATTGCAGGTGATAATTTCACTTTTTCACTTATATGTCACAATTAGGGATAAGAAAATAACTATTATGGTAAAATTAATCTTTAAGTATTATCTTAGAATGATACAAATATATATGTAGGCACAAATATTATTTTATTTTCTATAATGTTTAATTAAGATTTCCCTCAATATTAAACTTCAATTACTATTCCAGTTACAAATAATTTTATTAGTTTTTCTGGGTATTTATTATAATATAAACTAAATTCAAATGAAATACCTTTGAATTTTTCATTAATTGCCTCACAAAAAGCTGGTTAAATTAATTAGAGTTATTTATTAATATAATCTTTGTCAATAATCTAATAGAATGAGGCAATTTTTTAATATTTGATAGGATATAACAATTATTCAATAGATGTTTTGGAATGTTAATCTTTAAATAATGTTTATATCTACTAATTCACTGAATAAAGTTCAATTAAAATCTCTGTAAATGCAAATGCTTTATAAATTGCCTATAGTTTTTATCCTAAGATGATAATAATTGGACTCAGTACTAATGATACAATCTATATATTTTATTACTATATTGATAACAGTAGTATGATTAGTTATACAAATTATACTTTTGAATAATAATTCTCAGATTTTGTAGTAACATAAAATAATATTATAATTCTAATTCTAAATTAAGAAATAAAAATAATGAAATTTGATTTTACCAATATTTTTACTTTAAATTAGTAATCAATAAATAAACTTTTCAATAAGATTAATTTCAATCCTATATAAATTATTGTGAATACTTAACTATAATCATCTTTATTATATATTAACAATATTAATGAAGTCATTATATTTTCAATTGATTAAAATAGTTTTCCAATACCAATATCCTTAATAAAAGTTAATTTTATAATAAAATAGATAAATTTAATAAATGTTCAATTAATTATATCATATCTATGTAATAATGATCAAAATATTTGCTTTTAAGTTTGGAATGTATAATATTTACCAAAATACAATTATGTAAAGAATCTTTATAGTGTAAATATTGATAATAAAGTAATAATATAATCTGACAACATGTTTTTATATGTTACTTTTAGTAATTAAACAGTTTATGTTTATAATCCTTCCTTAACATATCATTAGAGTTTATATTATTTATTAGAATTAACTTCGCCAATTTAATGTGCTTAGGCAATTCAAAGCTTTTATTAATATGTGCCTCAATTCTAATATTTAAAATCGATAATAATTCTTAAGAACAATACTATTTATTAGCTTTCTAGAAAGCAAGAACTTCAAATTTCTGTTGAATATAATAATGAAGATTTTAACAATTCAATAATTTATCCATAATTTATTTATAATTATTCTGTAACTTCAGCATTAAATAAAACAGTCTTTTATTGGAGTCCTAATTAAAGTATTATTTTATATTCAAACTACACAGTATTTTTTAATTAAACAAAATTTATCAATAAATTTAAGTTTTCATAATATANTTTCAATGATTGGATTGCTATTATTGTATTTTTACATTAAAGTTAAATAACAGAAAAAGTATTTAGATTATAATGAATAAGAAATTGAGTTATGATTTATTCAATAAAAAAAAATTTATAAAAAATCAATGTTATTTATATAAATTTTTCTTATTTAATATCTAAACCTAGATTACTTTATTGTATATGTAAAATATTAATTATCAATATAAAATATATATTCTATATCACATTTATTAAATTTCATTACCATTAAAATTTTGTTCAGTATCAAAATAAGTCTAATAATTATAATATTGATAATCTTCTTATAATCTTAGATAACAAATACAAGATAAAAAACAATTAAGTAGAAAAGTACAACGCTGAATCATAATTAAATCAAAATGGATGGGTTGGTTATCTATAATTGATTAATAACTAAGTTCACTTGAACATATAATTTTTTGTAAATAAACATTTTTTGGCTTTCAAACTTTAAGTATTTATTATTGTAATAAAGTAATTCAATCACTCTTATATGAATCAGTTCAGAAATATCATAGTGAAATTTTATTTGCCTACCCTTTTTCAACCCTTATAATCTAAATATATGTGATGATCTACATTAAATGTATGTGGTTTTGAATCAATCAAGTTTATTTCATTTTATTATTCAAAAATATCCTTTTATTTTAATTAAAAATTTAGATAGTTATTGATGACAGATTAAATTATATCACAATTTATTAAAAGATGAAAAGTATTTTATCCTATACCATTATCCTTTGATTGATAGAAAAAGGGTAAAAACATTTTTCAATTTTAAATCTTCTCAATTGTACACAAATTTTCGCTTCCTCTATTGATTTTGGAATGAACAAATTGGAATTTAAGATAAAACATTATGTTTAAAACATCTTTGTAATCAAATTTAAAATTAATGCTAATGATTATTTGTGTTATTTTTTTAAAATGGGAAGAGTCATAATTAAAATAAAATTAAAAATTAAATTATAATGTCTACTATTTCTTCTAGAAATCTTTTATGATTAATAAAATTTAGTTATTTTATCAAATTTTTGTTTTAATAATGCCATAAGTTAAATATCCAAGGTTTTTAAACATTAAATCCCCCAATCAACCTTAATTAATCAAAATTTAACAATTCATGAAAAATTAATTATTAGTCTTTATCACTATACATAAAATTCTTAAACAAACTAATCTGGAAAATGTACTTTTAGTATGTACTTGCTTATTCAATTGATCATTTTTGATTTTTTCTTGATTTAATATGGTATCAATACGATAATTGTAATACTTGAATTATAGGTTTTTAAGATACCCAAAAATAAATTTTTAATGTATTTACTTAATATTTTTTTCATTATTTTAGCCTAATTGATCTCTATATAATTAATTAAATTGATGAATAAGTGAAGAAGGGTTTAAATATGTTTAGCTTCAATAAATAAAAATTGTGAGATTAATATTTTGCAAGAAGTTGATCGAATTATCATAAAAATTCTCATAGTAAAGATTATTTTTCAAGAGATATAATAAATTAATTAAGTTTATTTGCCTAAAATTATTTGTATTATAAATCTAATTGATCATTTTCTTTTTTAAATCAGAGTTAAAAAAGAAAATGATCAATTAGATTTATAATACAAATAATTT